GTTTGAGCCTTCTGCTTTGTCAGCATTGTGTTGTAGCAATATGAGTTGACGGTTTGTCCGAGTTCTAGGAAATCCAGAAGGATCCCTCCTTTCGTATCGCAAGAGGCAGTGCACATCACTTTACCCACTGAGGGTTTTGTCTTGAACTTTTTCTTTAGTGGAGAATTTGCATGGCAGTTTGGACTCCAGCTTACAGTGGTGACACCACGCCTCATTACCAGTAATTATGTGTTACTGAAAACTGTCACCTTTCAGCCCTGTATTGGTTGAAGAAATCCTGACAAACTTGAATATGACCTTGAATATGATGTTCTTCCTGTTCCTATGTGATCATTTGTTGCAACCACCTGGCAAAATTTTGTGATATTCCAATATTGCCACTATAGCTTCCAATGCGCTGAAGCCAATATTCAGCTCTGTACAGAGTTCCCTGGTCATAATCCACCAATTTGTGGTAATTAGCTGATCAAGATGCTTTTCATTTCATGGTGTAAGAGCTGTGCATGGCCATCAGGAATGTGATGTTGTTGTCACCACTGCTGAAATGCACCACTCACTGCCTCACCTCTGCTCACATCCACTCTTTGGTCTCCATTAACGTTTAGCAAGTGTCAATGAATTTTTGTGTGCACAATTTTTACTGCACAGAGGAATTCAGTGACACACTTTTGTTTCACACATTTCCATGACAGATACTATTCTGTCAGATTGCCTCTCTGGTGCCATCTTTCACACGGCAACAAAATGTAATGGAATGTTGGTCAGAAAGTTCAACTTCCAGTGCCATACCACCACCATCCACCTCTGATATCCTGGGCCAACATAATAAAATAGGAGGCATTACTTTCAGAGCAGTGCTATATACCCAAGCACTTTTTAATGCCTGGATATATAAACAAACAAATAAACAAAATACTTCTACTGTTGAATGCTGCTTTAAATTCCAATGTTATTCCTCATAGTGAATAATAAGATAGCAAATCTGGATAGCAAATATAAAGGGTCCAAAAGCTCATTAACAAGTAAGCAATCAAGGATTCTCTCTTGCACTTTGTGAGCAGCAAACATCTCCAAGATATCATCCTCAAAAGAGAATGTTAGTCAAAGGCTCTAATATTTATGCTTCTGTAAATTTATTGCTGTTATTTATTCAAGCCTGCAAGTTTTAACCAAGTATTTGTACCTGTAATACTTCGTGCCAAGTAGTGACGAGTAAAAGAAAATATGGCAGAGTGACCAAAGAGCCTGATGCAACAACTGTAGATTAAATCAACATTTTTTCTAAGTGTCTTAGTGATGGGTTGTTATTTAGGTTGTTGATATATGCTTCCACTGACTATACATCTTAAAATTCTGTTCATGAAAAAATCTCTATATCTATTAATGTTGTACATGTTTATAAACATAACTAAAGCTTAATGATAGTTGTGCCCCTTTGACTTCATGAGCAGAATGAGAGAATATGTAGATGATAACTCATTTTGAACACTGTAGACTTTTCTTTTGACTTGATTACATAAGGGCCAAAGCAGAACTGGGTATCCTTAAGATAAAAGCAGCAAGGATGAATATAGGTATGGAACATCCTTTAGATTAAGAAAAGAGTACAGTAGGATAAGTTGTCTGAAGGGAGGATAATTATGGGTAATAATGAACTAAAGTAATGTTTTATATTTTTCATAATGGAAAAGCAAAAATATCTCAATAATGTTACCATGTATACTTTCTGGAAAGAAAATGGTTTTCATGCCACAAATTACTAAATCTGTAGAACTCATCATCAGGGATTGGGGGAGTGGAGAAAAGCATACGTGACTCAGAAAATGAACTATACAAAGTCAAGAAGTACAGGTCTGCCATTGTCTAATCAAACCTGATAGCTGTGATAGTTAAGAAGTCTCAAAGCCTTTCACGAGCAGAAAGTAGAAAGCGGCACTGCCATTAATGCCTTATTGTAATTATTGTGCTTTTCCCATAAACATCTGAATTTGACCACCATTGAAGAATTGATGCTAGACTAGATGGACATTAGGCTTTTCTTAACGTATGAGTTCTTCTGAGCTTAACAAGTATTACATAGTCTCACACTTGTGATTGGTGTAAGCTGTCATGAAGGCCTTGGCGTGTGTCAGGGATCCTGGTGAGGACTGGTTTGATGTCAGTGACATATGGCTAAATGAGATTGGTTTGGCTCTTGCAGTTCCCATAGAAGTTTTTCCTGTAATAGTAACAGACGTGAAGATGGAAGGAAGAGTTCACTTTTCTCTTTTTTTTCCAGTATTTCAAATTCAAAGCATGAAATAGAATTACAAATCAGGTTTTCTATATCTCTAAAACATGATGTTGACTTAAAAATCATGATAGTTGAAGGAAAAATAAATGTTGGGTTCCTTTTATTTGTCTTTCTGCTGTTTCTACCCATAAAGTTTGTATAATCTTTCATGAAACAAGTTCTTTTCTCTGGAGGCATTTCAGCTCTGGAAATTGAAATTCTTATGAAACTAGAAATAAGAACATTAAAAAATGCACTAAATTTCATAAGAACTGACACTTTTTCTGTGTGTCCCTAAAGGTCTGCCTGCTCATGTTTAATATATACCGAGAGGATTTAATAACTTACCTTTTGCAAAATAAGGCAGAAAACCATCAGCACAGTGGACGTCTGGGCTCTTGAGGCAATAAACTGAACCAAACAAGCCTATAACCAGCAGCTGTGGTCATTTCTCCTTTGCTCTTGTGTCGGGTGGTCCTTCCCTTCTGCTGCCACATCATTTGAACTGCTGCTCAGATTCTGTACCTGATCCTGCTAAGGCTGCCAAAGGCACATGTCAGAGCTGGCAGAATGTTGACAGGAACTCATAATACCTTCCAATAGCCAAGGCTTTCTTTAGGGCTGAAAATACAAGACCTCCAGTATTAAGTTGAATTCTTTTGCAGTATAGGAACCAAAGAGGTAATTTTAAGGATGTCTGTCACCACTGAAAACAGGTTTCCCTTCAGTAGCCTGCTTCTGTATAGGTAGGGCTAGAAATAGGGCAGTAGCCTTAATAGGGGATTATAGAATCTGAAGAGAGGTGGGAATGACATAGGGCTGCAGATGGGCAGTGATCTTGTCATTGGGCTTCTGAAGCATGATTGTTATCATCACACATTTTGGACTTTGTTGATTTTTCCTTTCTGATTCAAAAGCCAAATTAGTGAATTTGCATAGGAGTACCTGAGGAATTTTGTTTGCATGTTCTTAGTTTAAGGCCATTTGATTATCTGGACAGAAAACATTTGAAACTCAGAAATGTGAACTCATGATTTTTTTGTTTGTTTGTTTGCTTCTACATGGCATTATGGTGCTAGTTATAGAGTTATAGAGGCCATCAAAATGATTACAGATATCTTTTCATATTGGGCCCTGGGCAGCCTGGTCTAGTATTAAATAGGGAGGTTGGTGCCCTGCATGTGGAGGGGGGTTGGAGATTCTTGATCCTTGAGGTCCCTTCCAACCCTGGCCGTATGATTCTGTGATTCTGTGATGCTGTGATCTATACCATTTCAGTGACAGTTGAGAGAGAAATAGAAGAAATGGTGTTTTAATTATTAGCTATGAGATCGGTGATTAAGAACGGCTTGATGGAGAATTTTAACCTAAGAATCTGCAGTGTAGTGACTCTACATGATAGATACTGACCTAATTTTTGGCAACTAAGTGCCATAAACATCAGCCCTGATATATCAGACCCAGCATCTGCTAAGATGTCTTAAAACTTTTAAAAATTAATGCACAGATGAAAAACTGCTGTACATCAGCATGCACTTTGTCTAAATGCAAATATTCCATCCTCTAACCAGCCCATAAATATATTTCAGAATATAAAAAGAAAATAAAAGATCCTTCATAGCTGATGTAGCAGCAGAGCCATAGTATTTCCTTGTTTGTGATGTTACATGCTGCTTATTTAAAAGAAATCTGTGTATTCATATTAGATGTTCATGATTGTCTCCACCAGTCAAAATATCATTCTTTATTTAGACAAATTAGCAAAGCTTCAGATTTATTAATATCATCTTTTTAATGTTGCGCTGAAAAGGGCATCATGTCCCTGGTTGAAAATGTGATAACTTCAGGGAATTCATGGCCATAGTTGCTTTGTCATTCTAAGGACATTGATTTTTTATTTATATTAATCTACAGCAGAAGGTTTGTGGCTCATTGATTTGAGTGTTAAATGCTTATAGGGACACAACTAAATGCCAAGCTGCAGACGAATTTAAGCTACTGGGCATACTTAAGCACTGGACATCTCAAGCCTGTTTACTCCAAGTCTGAATGCCATGAATCTGTCTCTAAGTACCTTCTGCAAAAATTCAAAATGTTGTGCAGAAAGTCTTGTACTTACTGATCCAGCTTTGGCATCCTTAAATACAAACAGGCATATGGAAACGGAGGTAGTTGTGTTGCTGCTGTGGAAGTATCAACAAATATTAAATGCAAAATTGTGACTGGAATTTATTATTCCAAAAATGTCTGCACTTCTGAAAGTCTCCTTTCTCTCTCCTTCTCTCTTTCCAACCCACACCCTTAACATCAGGATTTTGGGGAACCTAAGGGAAACAGACAGCAAGGAAATAAAAAATTCAGCTGCTGTGTGCACTGAAAAGATGACTGCTCTAGTTCTAAGATTTTGTTTGTTACTTTAAGAAAAAAAAAAGGCGAAACCGTGCAGTTTGCTGTGCTACAATTACTTCAGAAATGCTGTAAATAATTAGGGTGTTAAAGCTTGTGCTCGTGTTTAAAGTGTGAGCAAAAGCGTCAGTAAAATGCAGTCAAAAGTCCTGAGCAGTGGCACAGTGTAAGGAAGGAAATCTCTTGCACACAATAGAGATTAAATGCTCCCTGTGCATACTGTATTCTGCTCAGCCCTCGCTGCTCTGAGCCAGGACTGTGGCAGTCGTTATCTCGAGCAGGTTCCTTGGTGATTTTCGAGCCCTGCTCTACCTACCCAAGTGGCAGTGACACCAGCTTTCACTGAAGCCTTATTACTCTTAAAAGAGCAATTTGGTTGGTTGCACGGCTATTAGGATCAGACAGTCAGGCTTAAAGCTGTCAGTACAACTGCTTCTCATCTTTTTTCACAATCCTGACATCTTTTCTCTTTTCTGCTGGACACGAGCATTACTGTTTTTATCATTTTCAATCAAGCTCATGCTGCAAGCTGAGGAATATATTCCCACAGAAGCCAAAGTGAGAGCAGAAATTATTTTATAGCTGCTGTAGTAGCAGCGGTGCTGGCTGCATGTTGTGTGGGAGAAATCGGATCAGTGAGAAATGTGGCTTTCCTCAGGGCTACATCAGTGAGATATTACTTCAACATCTAAGGATAGCAATGCTGCTCCTTGCTCTGATTTTTCTATGATTAATCACTCCTCTTTACGCCAGCAGAGTATGCAGAAAGTGGGGGAGAAGATGTAAGATAATTTTTTTTGAAAAGAACTTGTGGAAATGTTATCATCAGTGAGACGTGGGAAAATCACTATGCTTGAACTTCTTTTCATTTTGATGTTGCTCTTCTCTGGACCAACCCTGAGCAAGCTTAGCAGGACCAAAGGCAAACACTGGAAGGGGGGTAAGTGAAAAGAGAAAGTTTCATAATGGATGTCTGGGTAGGATTTTAAGAAGCTGCCTTAAGGATGATCTAAGGTGAATACCTATGCTGTTCTGAATGACTAAGATTTTAGATTATTGTGTGGTCTTGAAAGGGAGTGTTGAAAAGGGAGCATGGAGTTTCATTTGTTGTTTTTTTTTTTGTTAGTTTTCTTGGCTGCCTCTGTAGGGCGTATATTCCTTGCAGGAATTCTACTTTGCATTTTATTATTAACAGAATAGCATTTAAGGCCTTTATATAAATAAATGCCTGTCATTTAGAAACTGATGTTTTGTTGTGTTTGTTTTGTTTTGTTTTTTAATGTGAGAATTAAGATTGTTATTTGCATTATGGAGACTCTGGGACTGATAATTGTAGTTGTGTGGCAAAATGTCCCCCCATCACAGGGGATTATAGTGCTTTAAAAGAAGAGGAGAGAAAAGAGAAAGAAAGCAAGAAACCTGTTTTGAGTGCAGAATTGTTAGTGTATGTGGTAAAAATGAATAGACAGACTTTTTTTTTTTTTTTTTTTTTTTTTAATACATGCATGTTGTGAAATGCACTGCCAGCAGCACTAATTGCCTGACTGGCTGTATCAGTGTTGATGTGCTAATAAAGATAAATTGCATTAACTTTATCGGGAAAAATGATGTGCTGAGAAAAAACTTATGATTCTTGAAGGCAGCAATCCATTTTCCTCTTCTGCTAAAATCTGTTGGGAAGATTTACCCTATATGTGCTGTGAGCAGTTCACTAAATGTGCCTTTTCATAAAGTTCACTTTGTTTTGATTCCTTGTGTGACATTTGTTTATGGAAAACACGGGTTATCGAGGTCTCATAATCAAATAACTCAGTGAGCATAAATGGTATCTCATAAATATTTGGACTGAGGGACTGTGGCTTGTAGATAGCTAGATGTTTTCTCCTGGTTGTTTCTTGATGTTACTGATTGGACGCACCCCAGGATTTTTTTTTTTCTTACAAGCATTGCCACAGCATGGTGTGTTTATCACAGCTTTAATAGCACTTTCTGTCTTCCTCTGCTGTCAGTATTGTGATCTGAGGTTAAAGAGTAGCATCAACATTATAAAGAAGTTTTAATAATTTATCACAACATCTCAGCAGGAATCTCCTCCTTCTTCCCTCTGTATTTCCTTTTGTTGCTTTCAGAGAAATTACAAATCTTCTACTTTCTGTATCTTCAAGGGAAAAGTTGCTGTGCACACTTAACCTGGACTACTAATACAGCAAATTATTTCCTGGTTCTGTAAATCACATTATCACGTGTATCTCACAGTGCTGCTGGGTATCCTCCTTGCAAATTACAAGCTGTTTATTTACTCTCAGCAGTATGACCTCTTCTTAGGGGCGCATGAGTTAGGAATATATGTTACTGTCATGTTCCTGTGATTTCTAAAATACTGTTAATTTTTTTCTCTTTTTCCCATTTTCAATTAACTTTTGTATATAAGAGGTTTACTGCTTCAGTCTCTTACTTACACTCTAATAGAAGCCAAGAACTCTACTGAAGAATTTCTGTCAAGATTTGAAAATAATCCCTGAATCTGACTGAGAAAAATAGGAGCTTACTATGGGGTTTTGCTTTTCTTAAATGTGTTCTTTGCACCTGAAACAAAGAATAAAGGCTGGTAACAATTTGTCTTGTTCCCTCACAGCTCTTAAGTCAGCTAAAAACTGAGCTTATGTGATGTAAACTTTTGCATGTGGATGTTACTACTGTGTTGCTTGTGAAGATTATGTGTGTTTTTCAGTGAAAATGTTAGATTTCTGATCTTCCAGAGTCTGTATGTTGTGATGTTATGTAGTCTGAGCATTTTTGAACTCAAAAACGTGACACACACCTCTCTTTCTATTGAGCATCAAGAATCAGCTTCTGCTTTTATGTCAACGCAAGTTCTTTGTGGCCTGTGTGTGAAATCTGTGATGCTGCTTGGTAAAATTTCTGCATATGTGCTTCTCCACTGGAGCACACTGGATAGCTCAAACCACAAAGGAAGCAGAGGTTCAGGAGATCTGGGCAACTGCTTACCAACTTGCAACTATGTTGTTTAGAACGTAAGTATGACATTAGATATGTGCATTTGCAAATAGGCAGTTTCCAATGTCCAGAAATATTAGTTTAGCATTACCAATTGTTTTCCATGATGGACTACAGTAGTTAATCCAGAGCATCCTCACAAGTTTTTCAGTGTCACAACTTATTTCAACAGTGCAGTGAAGTACAGACATCTTTGGAAAATGCTCTTCTATGTCTACGTACGCCCTAACCATGATTAGTCCAGGCTAATGAATCTCAAAATTCTGCTAATATGACTTTAAAAACTTTGTTATTGAAGGTACAAGTTGTGATAGGTTATTTTGTGGTCTTGCTGTGTAGTTCTCTCTGTTATTCATGAGAAGATCAACGCTATTTACTTCTGTATTTTTCTTTGGAATTTATTCTAAAAAAAATCTGCCATTAAAATAAATGGCATTGCAAGTAGAAATTGTTTCCAGATTTAGTTGCAGTGCCAGATGTGAAGGAGTGAACTTAGTTGCATACTTACATGGTCCTGGAGAAATGGAAAGATAACATTTTCTTTTCTGGCTATTTTTAAGTCTATTCTCCAGAAAACTTTCAGAATAAGTCATTGGAATGCAGTGCTTAAATGTACCCTAAACTGGATTTATAAACTAGTGTTCAAGATAAACTGCAGTCTAAAAGCAGAACCTGGGAATACAAATCAACTGGATTTGCTTTTTCCCTTTGACTCACAGTAGCACTATGTGATTCAAGTTTTTAAGAAGGATTTATAATATGGAGTACAAAAAACTGGGAAAAGAAGATTAAGTACTCTTTTGAGTTTACCTTAAATCGGAAAGCAGATTTCAAGTGTTGCTAATACCTATCCCCTCCTGAATTTGTTTCCAGTGTTTTCACTCTATCACATACTATAGGTAAAAAGAAAATTAAATTTTGTATGTATCCATTCGCATATATGTGCATGTGCTGTCTATTTGGTGGTGTCAGGGAGGGTTTGGAAGAAAACTGTCCATTTGTGCTATGTTTGGGAACCTTCCCAGCATTTTCTTCTTACTAATAGCATGGTGATATTAATTCCCGAACGAGGAAAACTGTGGCAATGATTCACATTTACTGATCTTCAGGCAATATCAAATGTCCCCTACATCTGTGAGTGTGTGTCACATCTGATAAACACCACACACAAATGTGAATGGGGCTGAGGAGCACTATTTTCCAAGCTCTTGCCAAAGGGCCCATTACTGTTAGGAAGTCAGCCTTGTTGAAGAGTTCACAAGGGCAAAGTAGCGCTGTACAGAGACACCATTCCGCATAGTCGTTGGATATTACTTCAGCTGTAAAACAGCACAATGCAGGGGGAAAAGAAAATCATGTACAATGCTTGTCTTCTGGTAAACATCAGTGTACTTTATAACTACACTTGAAAGCTCTGTGACAGAAAGAGTTCAGAGAAGAAGAGGGAGAACATTAAGAAAATCTCAATTCCAGGCAGATATTAACCTTTTATTCATCTTGGGAAGACCTCACTTGTTCAATTGGGGAGATAGATGTGCTGTCCCTGGGCATCAGGCGCTAATGAATAGAACTGGCTCCTGGCCTGACCTTCTAGCTGGTGGCCTGTGTATAGCATCACCAGGCCCTTCTGGATGGCCAGATCCCATCCCAGCCAGATGGTTGTAGAGCGGGCCACTCGGGGTGGTCCTCAAGGGTGCATCTCAGAGGGAGAGTGTAGAAGGACTCAGAGTGGGGCAGAATGCCCTGATGCAAGAGCAATGCTCTGACAGAGCCATCAGCACTGGAAACAGAGAGAACCACTCCACACAACTGAAAGGGGACAGACAGTACCTATTCTTTTTAGCTCTGAGGAAGTGAAGCAATAAACCTTCTTGACTAAATCAAGTTTATTATGCAAGTGATTCAGCCTTATATTTCAGTTCCAGTTTCATCTCTACAGCATTTAATCATTTTTATGACAAAGAATACCAGTGTCAGAAATCTAGAAGTGTCACTTTCTCAGTCTTACTGGTAGGGGTAATTCAAAGGTGTGTAGGTGAGATTCAATAATCAGATTGATCAGTACATGTTATTTTGAATGAATGTAATCATCAGTGCTAGTTTAAATGTTTTTGAAAGCATAATTCAGAGATCAGCTCACAAAAGAAAATTTCTATTAACTGACCTTCCCTTCCATAGAGCAAGCAGCCACCCCGCAGACCGACCAAATGTGGAGGTGAAATGCTAGAATATTAAAGCAGTGGTAAGAGTATTAGATTTGGAGGTGTGTTACTGGACTGCTGGTACGTGCTTGGTAGCTCCAGATAACCAGACATCTCAGGTACAGACATATTATCCACATAGCACTACAACTTTACAGTGTATGCACACAGAGTTTGGTGAAGATTATGCTCTGAGATGTGCTACGTTTGTAATAAGGAGACTCAGTGTGGTCACAAAGCCCAACACATCAAGAGCACAGTGAATTGTAATAGATGTTTAGATTTCTTCTTGGCAGCCTCTCAACAGTACTATTTGCTGCCCCTTTGGGGAAACTCATTAAGATTTTTTCAACACAAGGAAGCTGTTTTCACCTGCATTATGACTGTGAGGCGATGAAGGCTGGGGTTTACGCAAAGTAGGAAACAGAGAGGAGATAATTCTGTGGCTGCAGATATCCTGGCCTTCAGTGTGACTTATCATGAGGCACAAAAGATCTGCTCAGCTGTGATGAGGCAGGGCTTTTTAAAGTGGTGGTTGTGAGTTTCAACACTGGCAGCTGTGCTGGCATGATTCACTGTGTAATGTATGTAATTTTGAGGGTACACGCTATATAGTTTACCATTTGTCTAATTTAAGTAAATTATTTCGTGGAATTTCAAGGATAAACTGCATGGATTCTTTTTGAATAATTTCTCATGCTGGAAGTTTAAGTAACAGTAT